TGAATAGGTTGAATAAATGATTCAGTGATTCACTCATTAACACAGTCAGATGCTTTGTTTCAGAATGAATCAGTCGTTTGAACGAATCGGTTGAATAAATGATTCAGTGATTCACTCATTAACACAGTCAAATGCTTTGTTTCTGAATGAATCAGTCGTTTGAATGAATCGGTTGAATAAATGATTCAGTGATTCACTCATTAACACAGTCAAATGCTTTGTTCCTGAATGAATCAGTCGTTTGAATGAATCGGTTGAATCTCAACGACTCGCTGATTAACAGTCACGTGCTGCCACCTACTGGCGGTTTTAATTTCACATTTCAACAGTTTTTTTCATGTTTTAAATCATTTCAAATATCAGTATTCAACGTTTTATGTTAAAAACAAAACATTAGGCCTATGTATGCATCTGTCACTGCAGGTTAAATGCATCCAGGTCCCTCTGAGATACATGAACTGTGTAAATACATCTAAATGCTATTTCAGACACAGATTCCAGAAATGTTTTCTTATGCTGGAATGAAAGACACTGATTACCGGATGAAGTGCTTCTTATTCTTACCCACAAATACAAAATAGAAGAAAGAGTTCAAACTGAACACAATCTTGCTACTCAAGCTGTGTATGAACATTTATTTATTTGCTTCTTTTCCATTTTGCATTTACTTTTACTTTCAATACTTAAGTACGTTTAAGATAAAAAGTCAATTCAAAAGTACAATAAATATCACATACCAAACAGATCTCGCCCATTTACTTCCAAAGTAGTATGAAAAATAAATACTATGGTAGTCAATGGGGGCGACATCTGTGATGAATTCCAGTGTGGGAGGAGCTTCACTGATGATGTGATTGCCGTGTGGGAGGAGCTTAACTGATGATGTGATTGCAGTGTGGGAGGGGCTTCACTGATGATGAATTCCAGTGTGGGAGGAGCTTCACTGATGATGTGATTGCCGTGTGGGAGGAGCTTAACTGATGATGTGATTGCAGTGTGGGAGGGGCTTCACTGATGATGAATTCCAGTGTGGGAGGAGCTTCACTGGTGATGCGTTCCAGTGTGGAAGGAGCTGATTGGCCAAAATCAAAGTATATCACTTACTGAGTTTGTTTTTATAGGGTCAAAGACCAGATGTCAAATTTTAGTGCAACAAATGAAATTGACCAAAGTGATATATATTCATAGAAAACCCATTAAATGCAAATGTGTGTATAGTTATTCTGTAGTCATTAGTTATATTAATTAGTTATAGTTATTCTGACCTGTACTTAATAAAATACTGTGTATAAAAGAATAAGAGGTCATACTCAATTTTATTAGGCTATTTTAATTGATTACAAAGTTGTTCTTGCTAACAAATGGGTAAAAGCTAGTGTTTTGAAGGATAGTGTCAAAGTATAGAGATTTAAATGGAGAATTAATGAGTATTTTTGGGCTGCACTGTGATCCTTTAACACAGTGTTTGAACGTCGTCAAATGATTCTTGTTCTAAATATGCCTGAAACGTTTTTTTTTGCTATTTTAACCCATTTTTGTCATTGACTCGTTTACTAATTAACAAATGTAAGCATTTATATCTGGATCATAAAACAACTGATGCTAATTCACAATTTTTTAATGTCTAATTCTAACATTATTCTGTTTCTTCATTAAAATAAAGGTAGATATCTA